ACAACTACGAACCTTTATTATAGCATCACTTACTGACTTAACACAACTGTACCTACTGCTAACTACAAAGGATTAGCGATTGTCATAACCAAACGATAAATCATTAACTAATTCAAGTTCAAGGGTTCCTTGCCCTTGGCAACTATGTAGCTCCGAGCTGATTTACCAGCGGGGCTATCAAGCATAATTATGGATTCAATCAATCCTCGGGATAGGTGGTCACATAGATAAAGCGGCCTCACTACCGACATAGATAGATTATTTTATGCCGGGTGATGAATGGATAATAAATTGCTATCAGAATTGCAAAGTAAGCCAAGTCTTCCTATATTTGCACTTATTAACTTTATTTGAGCTATTGTAGATTTGAAGACCAAGATGTTGTGGCCTCTGGTATGGTCGCAGTCTCCTTTCGATTTATAGAAGTGGTTTGACCTCGTTGTCACAACTTGGTCTTGTTGTCAGGGTGACTATGTAGAACGCACCTATTCCGAAGTCGTCTGTCATAGTAGTTGCCATGATTCCCAGCATTAGACAGTGGACTTGATACATTCTCAAACCTTTCGCCGGCATTGTAGTCGGCATCATCAATCGGCAAAGCTCACTGTACCAAGTCCATTGTCTGATGCTGGGAATCATGGCAACTACTATGGCAGACGACTTCGGACTAGGTGCCTTCTACATAGTCGCACTGACAACATGACCAAGTTGCGACAACGAAGTGAATCCACTTTTATTTGGGCTCTTTCAAACTAGCACAATTTCTATCTTGGCGAGCACTTTCGTTCTTAAGACAGACCGATGCTGATAAACTCCTACCAAATTCAAGCATAATTTGATCACTTTCGGCTTTTTACCTTTCAATTACTCTATTTCCTCCAGTCCTGAATCTTTCACATTCCGTCACGAAAAAGGTATCCATTTGGGCCGTGATAGCGTCAAGGCAGCTCCCGCCACAGACTACATCAAGCGCTCGAATGTATTTCGCATACAGGTGGCCATATCCGGTGCTGAATACCTCTTTCAAGTGAGCATCATTCTTGCATTTAATTTCTTGGTCTAATCTCCAAATATTCTATATTCCATATTTTATAATGTTTTTCATGAAAAACTTACAGATTGGGAATATCTATGTCTTAAAAACACAAAGGAGAGTTCTGCTGCTTTCCTAATCAACTGCCAGTATCAAAAAACTTACATATGAATGCAAGAAAAGCAGGTTTGTATCAGGCTGATCAAAGGCTAGTAACCTTCCTCCAAGTTGTCCTCGAGGTTAATTCCAACAAATTTAAATAAATTTGATACTAGATCCCTCTTTGAAAAATTGTCATCTCTCCTCACGCAAGTGTGGTCATATTATTTGATTGCTTCACTATCAACTGAAAACATGCTCAATTTTGCCCTAGTTGGGAGGCCTTTTAGTTATAATTTACTTCTCATGCTATTTCATGTACCCTTTTTTAACTTTTATTCAGGCACCTACGTCTGCTGATCTCCATCTTTGGGTGACTGCAATCAACCGGGCTTGTGATAGCGACACGTCTCGTCCCCGTCAAAGGAAGCTCGCCAGCTCACCTCAGGAAATTGTTGCCAGCACGCTCGTGGCTGGTGGTTGCGTCACTCAGACACTTGCTACAGCTACACTACTTGCACTCTCGGCATCAGTAGGCCTTGAAAATTATGGTAGGCGCAGGCCACTTGGCAGCAAATGCGAGCGCATCGGCAACGGACAGGCGGATTCAGACAAGAAGACAAAGAGAATTAGGCGAATTATGGAGAATGCAAGACGAGAAGGAAAAGTTGCCATTGGAACTACCGGGCAAAGAAATATAAAGCAAACCCAGAAGCAAAGGGACAAGGAAGAGGATAAGGACAAAGAAAGAAAGAAAATCAGCAGGATTACTCTGAAAGAAAAGGTGAAAGAGAAACATAAAACTAAAGAAGAATGTGGTGAAAATGATAAAGTAAAGGAGAACGAGAAGGAGTACATAATTGGGGAAAAGATGGGGGATCAAAATGCACAAGAGAAAAGTTCAAGAAGGCAGGACACCGCGCACGAATGGGAGGCCGTCAGAGGGGAAGAAGAACGAGTGTGGAAGGCAAGCCGATGGATCCAACTTCATGCCGAGTCAAGAGTAAAAGTGTTGTTGCATGGATCTGTGTCTCTCTTATTTACTGCCTATTTTGCCAATCGCGTCGGCCCTGCTATTTACTAACTTTCACCTTCTTCTTTCATACATCGGCTTTCTATACTCAATCATACCCAGTATTCACACATGCCCATTTGAGACAGAATGTCCAAGAAATACACTAACTCATCTTGTAAGTCTAACTCGAAAACTATTGAGGGTCATTATGAGGCTACCATCAGCGTAGATTAAGGCGACACATTTTTGATAAGGAATACTTTAATAACGAACGCTACTATATATTTAAGGGATGACGGAGATTGTGATTAGTCCAGGAGTGTGATTAGAATGAGAATGAGTTTACTATTCCCAATCCCATTCGTGCTACCAATTGCTTTATTGTCTATCTAAGGATGACAATATCGACGCCAACAGTAATTAGGCTGATGAAACAGATTGCTACAATTGAGAGAAAGGAGAACAGAGCAAACGAATAGTAAATTTAGGGCCTCGGTGTATTGTCGGGTTCGCATTTAACCAGAGCAAATTTGCTTTTAACATATTGCCATTTTGTACTTTCATGTTTGGGGTAGCAATTAGTCTCGAAGAGTTAATCAAACATGTTAGTGTAACTACCTAGCCAATAGGCATACAGTATAATATCCCTAACTTTGTCAGAATTTTTTTTTAACCAATTTTAGCTTTTTACCTGTCTTTTTTGTGAGCTACCCCATTGAGATAATCCTCAGGACACCAAACTTAACCCATAACGAATATATGATGGGCCCAAGTTTTTCAAGCCCTCATGTTTTGGCAACAGCATAAGCACAGCTTGTCGCAACACTTGAACTTCTGATCATCCCATAAAGGATTTAAAATTGCTTGTTTATCAGGTGTAGATGGCCACTTATCTCAGTAGCGATTCGCTTGAACATGTGTCCAGCATGTTTAAGATTAGTTTATTCATGCCAATATGAGGCCGCTAAACCAATTCGTTTAAAATCATCATATTAGGAGATTATATGCAGCCTATTAGTTAATCATTATTATCATACCTACTACTACTCCGTGAGAATATCTAGAAAGGAATAGCGAATGCAACATCCTGAAGGCTAGCATCTCAGCTTATCAGCAGATAGTTGTTCTCCGTGGTTTATTGGAGTGGAAACTATTTAAACATCATTTGATATTCAATTTCAATAGAGTGGGGTGGCCATCGAAACTAAACACCACTACTTAGAAAAAATGAAATAAAAATCCAGATTACAACTTTACTTTGATGCTGTTTCTAATATTGCATACGTTTAAGAATCTGAAATAATGCATAAAAAAACTCAGTAAGGCTGATTCCCAGTAGAAAATTTTAAATTGCAAATATAAAAACCATTTTTTTGGCCACCTGTCAAACAGACAAGATTTAAATATGAAGAGAAACTGGGTTTAGATGAATCTCTTCAGATAATATTGTTAGGGGGACTTTCAATTAGCATGAAAGTGAATGAAGAAAAGATTCGTTGGTCGATCTCACCAGATAAGGATGGATGAAACTCGTTGTACTGCAGCCGTTTGACTTTTATACGATATTCGTTTTGACACAGTCCACAAGAATTCCTCCCTAGTTTGGGGTGAAAACGTGCTGATCTATCGTCCATCATCAGAGCTGGGTTTCATTCTTGTAAGAGTCTCACATTAATACTAAACCAAGAACACTATCCGGCTTATCTTACTACTTATATAGACTCAATCGAGCCAAAAAATTAAAGATTAAAAACCTAGATAGATCGATATAGAGTGTTTGGTTAATTTTATTTCATACTGGTCCTGTTATTTTTGTTCGATTGTATGAGTATGTGTATTTTTGTGTGTTAGCGTCTATATGCAATACGGTTCCTAAATCAGACTTGTCAAAGATTAAATCTCTGGTTCTGATCCTTAAGATCTAATAACTCAAGAGAAAATCTTTGCCTGAGACTGTCTAAGTCCGTAGATAAGTATGGTTGAGATAATGAAATATAAGCTTGTAAGTATGAAAATCAAGTTACGAAACCATATATCCTTACCTTTCAGTCTAGGGTCATTAACGTTTAACCCTCCAAGGAAAGGCAAGACTGGGGTTGTGTAATCTGACATGTCTGGTTTGGTTGATGAGCTTACTCTAACATTTTGGACGAATGTCAGTGAAATTAGAACTATTACTAAGCAGACAAATTAGATTGCCTTCTTTTTGACGGCTCAACACCGTCTCTCTCTTTCAATCTATCAATCAAGCATAATCAGTTCCTAATCAACTTTATACCATCGTTCTGCACATCCAACGTTTTTTCTAAGCTATTAATTTTAATAGCCTCTCTTATCTTTCTTTTAACCACAGAAGTACCCTAATCGACAAACCTACTAGTTTGAGACCATTTTATTTCATGTTCAGTTTCTGGTATGTGTTCGGCCACATCTGACCGTTGGATCCAGCTACCTTTGCAAGCATTTTTGTGTCTCACCAACATAACGTCGACCACATGAGCAAACAATCTTGTAGCAGCCGGATCTCGATAAGGGGTCATATTTCTCTCTAAAAGAT